TCACAATCGAATAACTTTTTTTTGTTTGTTTCATTTCAGCCACCATCAAGCCTTGGTATATACGTTCTTTTGTCAGGCAATTGATCATGCAGTTTTTCAAACAGTTTCGCTTAAAATATTGTATCAGACATTTTCTCTTTGTTGAATCCAATTATTTTCTAATATGTCGATGCTATCATCATCATCAACATCAACATCTTTAATTTTTATTATTTCTATATTATTATTGTTGTTGTTGTCGACGTCGTCATTGCAGTGAATAGAAAATGCGAAACATGATTGCGGAAATTAACTGACACCTGTAACTTGAGTGAGTGAGTATAGATTTACGCCGCTTTTAACAATATTCCGCAATATGAGAGCGGGGGATACCAGAAATTGTCACACATTGTACCAATCGAACCCAGATTTTCGGCGTGACGAGCAAACGCTTTAACCACTGTGCTACCCTACCGCCCCCCCTATAACTTGATAGAACTAACCTTGGCAACTTGTTTGCTATATGACTATTTGTTTTCTAAATATCAAATGACAAATGAATCTTCAAATAAAATGTAGAACAAACAATTGCGATACCGAGGCAGGAAAAGGCAAACATATCTTAATTTTAAATTGAACTCTAAATACTAATTAGTAAATGAAATAACGTGAATACAGTTTGCTGTGTATTTCTCTGAATGATATATTAGCATGCTGAAGGAATTATCCACTTTTCAGAACGCAACCTAAGCTCTTATATCTCTCCACATCCATCAATGCCGACATGATGCAGCGTCAAATCTTAACTATCCCCTCCTTCCCGTAAACAACATGTACGTCAATGGCGCCGGAGATATCGATAAAAAAATGACTGTACAAACATATTTTTGTATTGCAGTAATATCTAAAAAATATTAAATTACGGCCAAATTTGGATTTCTCACCAAAAAATGATTTGCCCCATTAACGTGAAAGATGTGTCCTTCCTCTTGAATGGCGACCAATTCTGGTAAGTAGAACGTCTGTCAATAACGTCCTATTCACAGCCATTGGGTCACACTGTGCCCCTCTTGTCGTAATGGGCTTTGATAAAACAATTAATACATTCCATGTTCTTTTCGAAAGAAATTCTTGACGGGGTATCTCCTCCAAGTTTTCGAGATTATTCGTATTCTCTAAATTGACGACTTTGATTTACTCGGAGCGCGGCACGCTCCCTGAATTAATGGGAAAAGTTCACGTGAAGTGTATGCGTCTTATCTATAACCCCCACAATCTCAGCGTTACAGGGGCCCCCTCCTTAATCTTCTAACGTCCAAACACGGCAATTTTGAAATGAGAATATTGGACCCAGATATGAGCGAGTAAATGAGAGAGTTGATTGTTGTAATTAGGCAACGATCGACCAAACAAACGCCGGCTAAACGAACAGCAAGCGTGTGAATCCATGGGCTGGTTCGGGTGCACGCACGCACGCGCTGTGACGTTCTCGCCCCTCGAGATCTCGACGGTATTGATGCGCGCGCCGCTTGCCGATGGAGCATACTGTGCCTATTAAAACTCAATCCTATTGCAATTAATTATTTACTCGGCAATAATTCCCCGCTATTTGTTTGGGTCGTTGAAGCCCCCACTTGAACGAGACTTGGACGAGATAATAAGAGATGTTCAATATATTATCAATTGCTCAATTAAAGGTTGCAGCGTTGCCGGGTGAAGGAGAAGATCGCCTATTAATGGTCTAATATCAAAGATGGTTTTATCGCTATATCACCCGCTTTGTTTTCCTTTATTTTCACTAATTGTTTTATTGTTTTCCGTATTACTTTTTTCTGATCCGAGATTGTTATTGACCGTGTTTTACATAGAGCGTTATTAATTAATTGTTTCGCTTGGCATAAGGCTGTTTATTAGCAGAAGCTGGACGCCAGGAGATGTGACATAGCGGTTAAGGTGGCGTTGTTCCCACGGAGCCCGTCCTGGGTCACATAAGGGGTGACTGTAGTGTTGTAACGACCAGGTCGATGAGTATTGCGTTGGCTGGTGTTGATGCATGTCATCGTATGTGTAGTTGGATGCTCATGCTGTCCACCACTGGGTTGGATGGTCCAGGTTCGATTATTTACAGACGGCCGTCATATAGCAAGAATGTTTGCGGAGTGCGGTGTTAAACAACAACCAACCAAATAAACAAGTATGTCAGCTATTGGAGTGATAGAGGCCAACAACTCATTCACAAGTAGAATTATGAAATACGAAGGCTGGTCCAAAAGTTCTAAGCCTGACTAGCTTTCAACTATAGGTCATAGTGAACTAGTCAATGAAGTACATTGTTTGAGTAGTTCATTGTAAGTGTATTTGGTCTGTTGAGGTCGTTTGTATATTAGTGACAGCCAGTTGAACATGATAGGGGTCCAAATGGACACATAAGTGGAAAAGAACGATTACCGAGCAGTCATCAAGTTGTTTTTTCAGAGAAAAGTACTCCCCAAGACATTCATGGCCGCATGTCACAAGTGTATGGGGATAAGTGCCCCAGCTACTCCACTGTTAAACGTTGGGCAGCTATGTTTAAGGCTGGGAGAACAAGTCTTGTTGGTGACCCTAGGTCTGGGCGTCCCTCAACTTCCATCACTGTAGGAGATAGAAAAACTTATTCTGTCGATAGACGTACTACACATGAACATTTACAGATGAATAAGTGATCTGCTCGTTGGTGCTTAAGTTTCTCAATTTTGATCTTAAGGAAAAAAGAACTGATATTGCCAGAGAAAATTTAGAGCTGATTGAGGAGGATTTCGTCAAATTCAAAAAGGGATTAGTAACGGGTGATGAAACATGGGTCTACCACTATGATCCCGAGACAAAACGTCAATCCATGGAATGGCACCATTCCACTTCTCCGGCACCAAAGAAATTCAACTCTTCAAGATCAGTGAAGTAAGTTATGGCCACTGTGTTCTGGGATGCAAAGTGTTTATTGATTGATTACTAGTATTTGGAAAGTCAAAAGACGATTACCGGTGCCTACTATGCTGATTTGCTTCATCACCTTATCAAAGAAAAGCGGCGAGGAATGCTGACTGCTGGAGTTCTACTACTTCATGACAATTGCCTCATCTCACACCTCTCGACTTGCAAAGGATGATGTGCGACAATGTGGTTTCTATAAGCTTCCTCGCCCTCCATACTCGCCAGACCTGGCACCAAGTGATTTCCACCTGTTTCCTAAACTGAAAGAACACCTTCGCAGAAAGCACTTTGACGACAACGATGACCAAAAAGCTGCCGTGAATGGGGTTTTCAGGGTGGCTTCAGAAAACGCCTTCCTGACTGGAATTGAAAAGCTTCACTATCGGAGATAATGTTTAAAAGTACATGTAAAATCACTTTCACAATTGTTGGTTTTGTTTGTTAGGTTTAGAAGTTTTTACCAAATTGTTGTCAAGTGATTATTTACACGAAACAATTGAATCTTCACACGAACGAGGACGTCATATCAGGCATAGCATGCCATAACATACAAATATCACAGTCATGACATACAAATAACTTACAGTCTTGATATACAAGTATCTTAGTCTTGACATACAAATAGCATACAGTCTTGACATACAAACAACTTAGTCTTGACATACAAATAACAAAGTCTTGACATACAAATAACATGCAGTCTGGACATACAAATAACTTAGTCTTGACATACAAATAACATACAGTATTGACGTGCGAATAACTTAAGCTTGACATGCAAATACCATACAGTTTTGACATACAAATAACATACAGTATTGACATACAAACAACATGAAGTCTTGGAAATAATGGTAACCACAGATAAAGTTATACATTTCTGCTTACATACGTTTTATGAACATATATATATGAACGAAAACATATACACTAAGGGACAGTTCATTCGTCAGATGTATCATAAGGATTTGATCAGCATTGGTTTATTAAAAAATATTCATAAAAAGTTACAAAACATATCTTAAACATTTTGTGCACGTGTGGATTCCTAGAGTATGGAAAGTGGAATACTGCCAGGCTATATCAAACATGATTTCGAAGATTACATTACATTTGTTACATTGTTACACTCGTATCGTGATATATCGATTACATATTGGTGATATTTCATTCGGAAAGGTATAGAACAAAGAAAGAGAAAACGTTGCAACACATTAATAATTTGTCGTTATCAAAACAGTGAAAAGATCTACATGTATGGCATTAAAACATACTAATCTACAAGACTAGAAAAATATGTAACGAAAACATTACCGTATAAGCAATCAAACGAATATTTTCGTTTTCTTTATTAATGACAGTGTGTTAGATTGCAATAAACTTGCTTTTGGTAAATATTGTTCTGCATTATCCATGGGTTATCACAAAATAATTCAAGACTTACATGGAAGCTACATTATATTTTTTTACATGAATTTCAAGTTTTAGATCAACAATGCTCTTTGATGACGGACTTGCGGCAGATAGAGTGATACAAACAGTTTGATAAAGTCGTGCTTTTAAGTTGAAAATAGAGATATTGTCCTATCGAGTTGTCTGCTTAAGAAACTTTTTGATGATAACACTTTCAAATATCACATGCATGTTGAAGAATATTGGTGAAAGAACTCATTTTCTGTTCATTTTTCTTTGTTTTCAACTGATTCTTTAGAAATATAACCTAACAACATTGACCTAGCATACACCATTTTAAATAAAATCATTATTTTTAATTAATCTACATTTTCGGATGAAATCCATAGCAGCAAATTAAGGAGGAAATTACAACTCTGACAAAATACTCTCGACAAGATACCGTTTAGCGCTCTACACCACAAGCAATTCCCCATCGCCTCATATAATTGAGGGGGCGTGGCTTACAACCAACGGCGGTGTATCGGTATTTGATTGGTCGGCGCTATCGCTGAACCCGCAGTCTGATACTTTGACGGGTCGGTGACAGAAGTTTCGAATAAATAGAATCTTTAAGCAGTCGTATTGTACTAAGTTTGAGTGTTAGTGTGTTGTGACTCCACACTCGGAAATCTCAGCCGCATGTAGCGAGTTGTATACGTACGTACATGGAGAGACGGTAAGATTCGAACCACGGAAACAAGGGACGAGTCGGACCGCTAAAGGACCTTACATTCGCAAGGGAGTTTATGTGAGAACAGCCGATATTCTGCCATGGATCTGTCCCTCAAGAAGAAATCGGCCTATGATATTGACAGTTTGCTTGGTGGCGGAGAAACTGCGAAACAGAGAGATCAAAGGCACTCGCCGACAATGGACACAGGTAATGTGATTGTCAGTCATTAATCATGATTGTTATCATAATGATATTATACATTGACATATTAATATAAAGACCGTGTATGCTGGATAGATGTGGTGAGGGTTAATTGTGATTGATGATTTATATTGTGAGAAATATACTGTCTCGTTAGGTCTCATAATATTGTGAAGCACAGAATGGTTTACTGTCTTGCATCGGGATGCAGAGTATAGGCTAAGGATAGCAATATTTCAATCAGGACTATTTTATCATATTATCCATGATTTGTACATCAAAATATTTAGAAAATAAATAATTTACCCAAATTATAAACTGAATCTAAAAGGATTGCAGGTTCCTTTGATTTGTGTATCATGCACAATATGAAATCCATACATTTATTGAACGTCATAATTTTAAGTCAAAATAGGACATTTAAATGCAATATTCATCATATTTTAGTAAATTAGCACGAGCATCACATGTATAAGTGCATTTTAAACACTGTGAAACCTTTCTAACTCGGTGAAATTTATTCAAATTGTGGAGGTGTATTAGTGTATTATTTGAATTATTCTATAACACATATATGGATTGTAAAAGCATTATCAAGCAATTATATCCAATATAACCAATGCGGGTCTTACTTTGTAATGAGGCACTGTGCAAATTTCCCTTCAACTCAATAAAATTGAGAAAAGTGAGAAATTTATAATATAGTGATGGTTGTCGTATTGCATTTGATATATTTATTCATAAACAAAATCCAAAATGAAAAAAATCACAAATATGAACAGCAACGATTTCAAATACGCTTTAAGATCTGCATAAACTATACTTCAAAATGATATATAAACTATTACAATGAACTATTACAATTATTGTTTAGAAAACACATTTTCTACCCACAGTCATCTGGTAATGCACTGAGTCTTCATTCAACATCAACATGATCAAACAAAGATTGATCATATTTTCTGATAATCTTTGCTTTTCCTCAGTAAACTTTTTAGGAAGTGTACAGTGTGTATGTGCAGAAAAGGAAAAGCACGGAACTGAAAACGGTAGATGCACTAGGTATTGATTTCTTATGAATGCATATTTGCCTCAAACATATACACATAATTATTGTGTTAAAGAACATAACGATGTTTGCATCTTTATACTGACAGATGAGGGCACAATGACAACAGCTAGGGTATCTTTACAAGAGATGCAGTTTATACAGTAATGTACCATTGGGTGACTTGGTTGAATCTTAATCTGCAGTTTGCTCGATCAGAAAATATGCATAGATAAACGTACCAATCTTCGTGTAGAATCATCTTGTTTAAATCAAATAAATAACATCACTATAATATCGTCATTGTCACTTATTATATATTGACTTCGAACTGCGTAAAATTGATTTCTGTCTTGTTTATATATACCAACGATAAAAGTTCGTTCTTCCTTTAAGGGGAAATATATGCGTCGAAATAAATGTTGAATAGTAACTTAGTTACGTAAACGTGAAAATGACGCACATATACATCATGTCAACATCAACTTAGACCTGTAGGAAGACAGCGTATTTGAACCATGTGCTAACCTCACCTTAACAACGCGGAAATGTGAAAACTGTTTGCTAATATTTAACGGTTTGTATTTTCCTAGCGATATTATATTAGTATTATGTTATTACTTTTAAATACATGACCGACTCTTTGTGTGCGCCCAGTAATGGTACTGCCATCCAAAACACATTTTCCATGATGAAGAAAAGCTGTATTTTAAATCCAAGCATTGTATGTCATAATAAAATAAATTAAACACAATTCAGTTAAATAGAACCTCCATAATTGTTACACATTATGCCAACAATTTTGATTAGGAAATGGTTTAAACTTATGTCAAAGCTCGCGGGTAAATTACAAGACTTAGAACCAGGTCAGATACATGTGAAGACTTTGATCAAGGGCTTCAAATATCCGGGTTTGGATATACCCTGTTAGATTATGTCCTTTAAAGAAAGATAAACATTTACACATATATGCAGTCAACGAGGGAGATTTCATGTCGTGCTAAATACCAAGAGCTTGATAACGGTGTTTGTATCCACACCGACGTATACAACTATCTCCCTTGTTCATCATAAGAACTTCTAATCGCCACTTAAAGAAGTTAGATATACAGTCGACGTACTATATTTTCTACACATTGTGTACATGCACCGAGACACAATATTGTCATTAGTATATCCCCCCACTATGCTACTGTGGGTATATATTGATAACACTGGAGTGCTTTCATTCTAATCAATCTAGGAATTAGCACCTAGATGTAATCACAGCGCGACATGTCGCCCGTCGCTGTCGACGTTGAAGCACACTGAACGCAGATGTACAAATAAACTGGTATCAAATATGTAAATTAATATCTTAGAAGATAATCGAATACGATCTATTTCTGTTGCCTTCTCGTGGGAACAGATTGTGGATGGTAGTCGCACTAATGTGTTTTAGAAGAAAATATTAAAAAATGAAAATGATATCGCAGTCAGTTAGCACATGAATCTGATCGTGTTCCGATGCGACCACTATAACGAGTGAGAAGGGCATTCTCAAATAGGAACTATTTAGTTTCCGCTCTCACTGTTAGATATTGTGGATAGTCATAATAAAACGTGTTTGGAAAGAAAACGATACAAAATATGAAAATAACCCTGTCATATAAGCTTGTCTTTTTCATACACTGTATAGAATCATCAATTTTTGAATCAAGACAAAATCATAGTTCACAGGAACATGTTTAATAGTATGTTTATATACAATCTTGAAAACGTTATTCATCATATTCATAATTATAATAATAATCATTAATAATTTGTGTATTAAATTATCACTTCTAGGTCTGATCGGTTTTCGGGTCCTCACACTCTGAGATGAAAGTAATATGGCGTTACACTTTCAACTCTCTCACGCTGATAGACTCAAAAGTTGTTTGTGGGCAAGGTGTCGTGGTTTTCAAGTTCTAGCATCAATGCTCGGAGTTAACCTGTATTATTAAGACATATTTTAGGGTATGTTATTTATGCAGTATTGAATAGTTAATATTAACATACAAAACTATCCTCTCGATTTAACGTTACTGTCAGCTACACTAGGGTCAAGAGATGGATTTTTTGCACCACTTGTTCACACGGAGTGTTCGTAGTCGCCAAGTTTCGGTATCTGGGTGGTAGGGTTAGGGGTGAGATTCACGCCATATTGTCCCGTGTCACAGATAGGAATGTTGGCAGGCCCAACTTATTCAATGTGTATGGGTTATTTGTGCACGTGAAGAGCGAGCATACACAACAGACGCCAGATATATCGGCCATTAACAAGATTACACATAGCTAAATGCCTTCTTCTGTGTTATAAAACGGTGGCCACCAGCGCTCCATCGATAACACTGGCGTAGGTTCGGGGTATATCAAAAAGCTAAAGTTTATTTATTAAACACTGCGTTTGTGCAGAGAGGACTCGTAATTAGCGTTGAATGTACCCGCGGAGAAAGCTAGAGTGTTTTCAAGTAGAAGCAATAACAGAGAACACGCTCCTTTAATCAAGTTCGCTGACACCTGAAAAGGTAGGGTTATATGTGAAGGTGATGTTGAATGTCTTTTCAACCCTTGGTTACTTACAATGTCTAATATTGACACGTGTTCGTTCTCTATGTCATCATACATGTATTCACATATTTACCCCCCAGCCCCCTCGTGCGAAGTGGTACAAATTAACCCCCTTGCGCGTTTTCAAACACAAAATTAACCCTTAATTGGCTTGCACCGTTCCATCACGTTTTCTTACGCAATTTACAAGAAGCGGAAGTTGCGCAGTATAGTTTTGTGGAAGCTGTTCGTGCCTCGCGACGTAAGCCCAGCACCCGAGACTGCGCGCGACGATCTCACGACAGGCTGACAAATGGCCTGTTTGTGTTAGCTTGTCCCCAACGTGAACATTTCTGGGTTTCGCTAGTTTGTGTGTGTACACCATGCTCTCTCAGTACAGTCATAACAACACAAGCGGTTACGCGGTCGAGTTGCCTAATATCTCCCTTTCACCGCGACCAGACGCCGGAACTATGGAGTTGGTGGGGGGAGGGGGTGACAGACACTTCGTTTCGCATCTTGACGCCAGTTTAACTTTTATATACGCGACATATGTACAGCATTGAGGCGATAGCGACACTGAACGGGAGACAGGAAGCCATGGAGGTATGCTCCACGAAGAGACGGCGATAATCCACAATCACGGATTTGCATATGTGTAATACATAGCTGTACGCATAGAGGCACGACTCCATATTTTAACATAACCGTTTCACGCACTGTCTCTTTGTCCAACTCTTTTACAAAATGAGATTTACAAAAATATATATTAAAATATACAAGATCTGTGTTAAGAGCTATCGTCGCATATATATGTTACTGATTTCGTGAAGTTAGCTTCTTAAAATAAACAAATACATTGAAACGTTGCATACACTATTTTAAAAACATACACTAAAAATCTTAAAATGGAATGGAATTTTAATATACAATATATTCAGAATTTCAGCAAATACCTCGCGTTAGGAAAAAATACGTTTTATTTACAAAATAATCATTATTTCTGTACATAAGTAATTGGTGTTAAAACAGTTTCGAAATACCAGAAGAAGGTTCATTTGCTATAAAAACGTATATTTTTTGTTAGGAATTTGTCAATTTCGTTTTAATGATAAAGAGTCATATATAAAAGTTTTAGCGAAAAATAGAAATTGTTTGACCACGTAACTCATTTATAACGAGTCAAAGTCATTAAAATATAAACTAGTTTTATCAATAAAACATACATTGAACGTCCTATTACACATCTCGCGATCCATTCTAAATGAAATATTGCTAATTGTCTGCTTGGTAAAAATATCAATTTTCTTGTCAGACCATTTGTACTCGTCAAACCTTTTTCTTTTATGTTTGATTAGGAGAATAAACGAAAATCATTACTGCTGTT